CCCCCCCCCCCCCCCAAAAAAAAACCCACCAACACACACACACACACCATTATATATGCAATATTTTGATATGAGCACATGAGATTAATGGTACTCCTAGGATTAAAGTTTTGAGCTAAAAAGAAACTTTCTCTGACAGTCATAAGACTAGCTATGATATATGGTATAGAGTGTTAGGCAACTATGAAACATTTGAGTGCGACGGAAATGAGAATGTTAATATGGATATGTGGTAATTGGTAAAATTAATTATAAAATTAGGATTGAGAATATCTGTAAAAAAAAAAAAAAAGTAGAGATGGCTCTCATCTAGATAAATTAAGGAAAAATTGACTTGTGTTTATAGACGGCCTACTAGTGCATCTGTGAGAAAGAGTATTGTGATAACTATAGACAGTAATATAAGGGAAGACTAAAGTTAACTTCAAATGAAATAATAAAAAGGGGATGATAGCTTATGATTTAATAGAAAGTGTGGCCCCAAAATAAATACAATGCCGTAACTAGATTCATGTAGTCATCCTTAAAAAATGTTGAGACAAGGCATTATTGAACTTATAAAAAAAAATTGAACTTATAATCTATAGTAGGACAGATTTGAGGGCAAGACACCTTGTGAAAGTAATGCCAAAGGTTAGATCTATACCCAATATATCCTTCTCAGACCCCCACTAAAGGGAATTAAACTAGGTATTATGCATAATTTATTGTAAGACAGGTCTCAGAGTTCTATTGACCACTTGAAAGATCCAGAAGTAACATGGCATCTAGTTGATAAACGCAATTTCAACTTTTGTCCTTTTCATAGTGTGGAACTTGAAATTTGAACTTGAATGGCCTTGAAAAATTTACAACTGCGATCTTTGCTTGCTTTAGTTTGTAAGCATAATATTCTGGTGGTCTGGTTTAGTATATTTTTCCAAGTCTGGAATTCCATTTGAATTTTGATTGGATTTTTGGGTTGGCAAAGATTAACATTCAGATAACAACTTTGCAGCAGGAAATATTTATATGGAGAAATGTGGGGTATCTGAGCTGAAGAAAGCTGGTGAATGTTTTTCTCTGGCAGGATTTTATGAGCGTGCAGCTCACGTTTATGCGAAGGGCAATTATTTACAAGAGTGCTTGTCGGTTTGCACCCAAGGGAAATTTTTTGATTTGGGTTTGCAATTCATTGAATACTGGAAACAGCTTTCAACCATGGATGATTGTATGGCCGCAAGAAGTAAAGATGTAGACAAGATTGAAAAAGAGTTTCTAGAGAGGTGTGCACTTCACTATTATGAACTTAAAGATAACAGATCCATGATGAAATTTGTTAGAGCTTTCCACTCAATGGATTTGAGACGCAACTTCTTGAAGTCTTTAGAATGCCTTGATGAGCTATTATTGCTGGAAGAAGAATCAGGAAACTTTGTGGAGGCTGCAGAGATCGCTGAACTGAGAGGAGATCTTCTTCTTGAGGCTGATCTTCTAGGAAAGGCAAGACATTTCAAGGAGGCTTCTTTGCTCATCCTTTGGTATGTGTTTTCCAAGTCTCTATGGGCACCTAATAGCAGAGGTTGGCCATTGAAGCTGTTCACACAAAAGGAGGAGCTTTTATCAAAAGCCAAGTTATTTGCAAAGAAGGAATCAGATTGCCTCTACGAGTTTGTCTGCACTGAGGTTGAAGTTTTGTCACATGAAAAGGCTAACTTGTTCAGGCTGAAGCAGAATTTCAATGCTTCCCAATGCCATAAAAGTCTCAGAGGCGAAATATTAACCGTTTGGAAAATTCTGGACGCTCATGTTCATTTGAACACCTCCAAGTATGACTGGGAAGACGAAGTGCCAGTGGATCTTAGAAAGCACTCCAAGGAAATGATTTCACAGAATCGGGTCTCTCTTCAAACACTAGTATATTTTTGGAATCTATGGAAAGAAAACATAGTGAATATTTTTTATTGTCTTGCGGGTATTGAAACTGCAACCTTTGATGACTATATGGCTTATGAAGCATTCTGTTCGAACTATTTTGGCGTGCGGAGGCAATTAAAAAGTCAGAACATCATTTACATCGTGCTGAACCCTGATGCCAATTGGCTGAGACAAATTGATGATAGATCCTCTCGGAGGATTGGGAAGTTGGTATATGCTGATGCCCGCCATTTTGTCTCTGCTGCTAGGAATCATTGGCGTTCAGAATTACTTTCTGTTGGTATGAAGATGTTGCAAACTCTTGACGCCCTCCACAAGTTCTCAACCAGGAATTCCTTGTCTGTGTTTTGCCAAAGCATGTCTCTCCTTCATATCTTTGAGGTTGCAAAATTTCTTAAGGAGTCAAAGTTTCTTGATTGCAAGTATCATGATACTAGAGCATTGGAGAGTTTTATTCAACTATCTACCAAATACTTTGTAGGCATTTTTCCTTTAGACAGTCGGAAATCATTGGCAGGGAATATGATTTATCTGAGAAGAACTGAGCTGTCTCGGTCTTTACTTGAAGAAGTTGTTCATGGAAACATCAACGGTAAACTGACCTATGGGCAAATTGGGAGGGTGGTTATGATGTGGCTTGGGTCTGGAAAACCCACAGAGGAGCTGTACAAGAAGATTGAGGAAAGGTTCAAAGACAATTCATCTTGGAAAACATTGGTTCAGAACCTCAGTGGGAACATAATGCCAGAATCTTCGGAGGAGTCACCATCGAGCATTTCTGATGAAGCTCCAAGAGCGATCTCTTTGATTTGCAAGTTCCATAAAGCTTTAGAAAATGCTTACAATGCCAATTGGAGAAAAGAAAATGACTATATATCACCAAGTTGCTTCTTGTATCTTGTTGACCGCCTATTGATCCTAGCATTTAACCTCCAGGGATTCTTTCTCACAACAAAATCTTCAACTGTTGAATGGCTTATTTATCAGCAATGGATGGCGAACCCAGCTGGCAGTTCGGCAACTGACTTTCAGTCATCTCTGGGATCTATGTATGACTTTGTGGTCTCCATAATTCAGCATTTTCTTTATAATAGACAGGATACAGAGGAATGGATTAAAAAATCTAAAATCAATTTCAAGTACTATTATCCACTGCTGGTGACAAGACTGGTTAGTATTTTGTGTCTAGTTTGTGTGAACTCTGGAAGATATTTTGATATACTTCCTCAGCTACTTGGAAGGGGTAACATTACTTCACAGCTACCAAAGGAACTCTGTGGCGTTCTTCAGCGAATGAGGAAGGGCAATGGTGTTAATGTAAATGCAAATGTGCTTGCAGAAGCATTCAAAAGGATTGGAGATCCTCTCGTGATTGTGAGTTTGAGAATAAATTGTGCAAACTTCTTCTGTCCTGATGCCATTTTGGTGGACATGGGGGTAACCCAATGCCGGGAGGACATTATAAGAGTCTTGTTTCCTAGAAACACCAAAGCTCCCCAAGGCCAAATGGCTTCTGCTGAAGTAGATATGACTAATTCTTGCAAGAAAGGAATTTCTTTGAACGGCAAGGATGGATCAAATGTACTTACTGTGACATCTTCTAACTTTGCTCCCATGGAAGATCAGAACTTGAACACAAATGATCAAGACTTGAAAATTAACTGGGGCATATTTCAGGAAATATCTGATGCTGTAGAGTTGGTTGAAAGTAGAAAAGATGGGAATTTGATGAAATTTGTGTCCAATGCTTCCAAGATGAAGGTAATGCCAAGTAGGTTATTATTATGTCTGGTGCCACTATAATATATTATATGGCCAGATAACTGTTACCTAATATATTTGATATTTTTCTATATTTTCAGGAGCAAGTGAAGAGAATTCGTTTCTTCTGGCTTGAAGTAACAATGAGCGCTAGGCGGGTCTCTGACAAGAAACCTTGTGCCAGTGAAGACGGAAATTTGTCTGCTGAAGCAAACAACGTGCTTGAGGAATTGGAGCAACTTTCATCTGCATTAGATGTGAGGTCAGTTTATTTCTGTAGCTCATATCATTGTGTGAACCTTGCCTTTCTCTTTCATTTAGTGTATGCTAACTTTAAACTGACGTTAAAACTTGGTAGAACTATATTCTAATATCTTGTAGTCAATGTTCAATTCTCACAAGACATCTCTTATTTATCTATTGTGCATGGGTTTGTAAATAATTGCATGCATCTAGAGTTTGCATTGTACCCACAAGTTCAAAACCAAGGTTTTGCGTCAGTTAAAAAAACCGTATCTAATGAACCAAACTTCCAACTAATACATTTCTGCTTCAGTTTCCAAATTACATGCTGAATCTTGTTGGATCTTGGACTGTTTTTTCAGTGACCCGGAACATGAGAAAAACCTTTCAAGCATTGGAGAACTTTCGAGGAGGTTGCAGTCAAGGTTGCCTTGGATAGAGACTGCTTTCTCGATCCCATTAGTCTCTCATAAAGATACAAATGTGAGCACTGTCTCGGATCCTCAATACCATAGGGAAGCGGACAATAGCAAGTCTGAGGAAATCGGCAAGTCTGAGGAAGGCAACACAAAGGATTTGCAAGCTACTGCTGCTTCTGAAGGCCAAACCAATGCCCACAATGAAGCTGTTGGAAGCAGCAAGGGTAAAAGAAATAAAAAGTCCAGGAAGGGCAAAAAAGGGAAAGGAGGTCGGAAGAGATAATATGACATAGATTGCCTAGGTTTTTTTATAATGTTTAGTAACTCTCTTTTTTGTGTATTTGTATATCTTACAGTCTATATAGGTTTTAGGTATAATATCTTGTATAAGGGTAATTCTATGGGAAAAACAAATTTAGTACCGAAAGCTTTTATTTTTTGAAGTCAAGTCACACCTTTTAAAGTAAGGTAGAATTGTTCGAGGTAAGTCACGATCAATCATAATTTATTTTTATCGATAATGAATATCATTAATTAGTTGTATCTTAATTTAACTTTTAAATGTCGTAATTTGTGTGATCGATCATAATATTTTAATATTGATCATAATTTATACTGTCGTAACTTATTTCTCCAAGTGACCAAAAAAACAATTTATATTTCCAAAGGTTCTATTTAACCTTAAAATGTAGTAAATTTGTTTCCTTCTTTTTTGTATTATAAAGGAGATTAAAGGGGCACACAAAAATTACTTTATTTTGTTTATAACATGTTTACGTTTGTTGTATTATAAAGGGGACTTGTAGTCTCACAAAGGGCATGTTATGGATTTGTGGACTTGTAGCCTCGTTAAAAAGAGCAATGCTATTAGCCCCCAATTTAGGGATTTAATATATAAATAGTATTATGTATTTCAAATTTGTATCTTAAATCAAGGAGGACCATTAGATCAGTGGGTCTTATCAATTTTTTTAAATAGTACTCTCTGATTTCGGATGTAAATTTAGATTATAAATTTGGAATACATATCATTACTCTTAATATAGTATCATCATTAAATTAATATGGTAAATTAGCATTAAATAAATTCATTATGAATCAAACAACATCAATGAATTAGATTCTCAAATTAGATAAAAGTAACGCTAATGTTTAACCTGTGAGAACCCATTTGGCTTAGCTTGTGCCAACCGGTAAAATTACCGACTGACAGGCACAAGCCACCAGCCTCTCTTTAGTTCAACCAAAGCAAAGAGGATGCCTTTCACTTCGCTAGTGTTGGTCGGCGCAAGTGCCTACTCGCAGGCGCAAACCACACAGGCATTGGGTCACGCTGAGGCAGCCACCAAGGCATTGTCGTTCGGCCATAATGCCGACCGGCAGACACTTTGCTTGCCAAGAGACTCTCAGCGAGGGCTTCTTCTGCTTACCGTTTCCATTGGTCGAATCCAACTCAGCTAAGAATTGGAATTAGACTCCTAACAAAATACTACTCCGAATGTCTAGGAGTAGGAGTTGGTGATAAAGGATTAGAACCTAGAGGTCTAATCAAAAATCTACCTTGTAATTATAAATAAGGCCCAGTGACAAGGTTGAGTCAATCAATCAAGAGTCCGTGTTCCTTTAGGACATATCTCTCTACCACTATAAATAAAGGCTTAGGTATAAGATAATTCAATTCAATCTTGACCTATTTACTTTATACTTTTCTTTAACTCCTGATCTAACGTAAGTATCAGAATCTTTTTGACCGCCTTCAACCATCAGTTTACTTAAATGTTCTCTTGTTTTGCAGATTACCTAAAGCTTTTTCACCACCCTCGCAGTCCATACAAAGTGGTTACTCCTTATGTGAATTTATTCTCGCACAATTGGCACTTTCTACGGGAAACGACTAAGTTTTCTACCAACTAAGAAGCCTTGAATTATGTCCAGCGAGAAAACCCTCGATCCTAGAACTAGTCGTACACTACTTCCACTGCCCCCAATCCATGAAGATCCTACTAACTATGACCTCCAATTATCAAAGGACAAATTACCCCGTGATGGATAGGACCACTCTAAAGAAAAATCTCATTCTCATCGCAACCTACCTGCCCTCGATGCAGAAGGCAGGTTAGCTACTAAGATGGACTATCATGAGGCAATAAAAAAAAAAGACAAAGGAGCTAAAAGCCCTCAAACAAGGGCTCCTACTCTACTGGGCTAATAAACTCACTAGTCAGGTCTTACATGCGCATCGTCAAAAGGGACCACCACAACAATCACTCACATGAGGCTTAATTTACTCGTTATAAGAGCATGTCTCCGGTAAGGAGTTATTCAACCCATAGTCACCGTCAAGGAAAGTACTCACCGAGGCGCTCTACTTCTCAACTCTTTCCTAGGGACCCTTCACCCATAAAGTACCCCCTCATTAAAAGGAGAAGAGAGGCAATCCATACAGGGAACACCGCCTTAAGGAACGTAAAGAAAGACTTGGCCTAAATCTCAACCCAGTTAAAGAACCGGATCAATGGGTTACTAGTTCAACTGTGGGTCAATCAATCGAACTGCTCATATAATAAATAATAAAAAAATTATTTATAATAGTAATGAAGATGTTAAAAGATTATAATAGTTACAACAATAACATGTTTTATGATATAATAGACGAACTAAAATGATAAAAAAATATCCCTAAGTTATTAATTTGCTCACATAATTTATATAATTTGATAGAGCACAAAAAAATTCGCTAATAACCATTGGATATTTGGTATAAATAGTAACAATGTGATGACCCTAAACAAACAAAATAAATGAAAAGAAAAAAAAATGGCTAAAAAATATACTACTAAACCTGTCATCCCACATTAGAAAGTAATGGGAATAGAAGAGGAGTGTCTGCCTTATAAGAAGATCACTTCATTCTTTCATTGGGCTAGGTTGATAACTTGGATCCAACTCCTATGAATGAGGTGGTCCAAGTGGATAAGTAGTTAAAAGTTTAAATATTTTAAAGTCTAGTCCGGATTCAAGAAAATCGTCTGGTTTTAACGGAATTCATAAAATTTATCCAGTTTAGACCAGTTTAAACTGGTCTTAAGTAGGTGAATGGTTTGATTGATTCAACTTCAAATACGGCTTAGTTTAGGTGCCGGTTGGACGATTTACCGGGCTAACCTGCCAGGCAAGGTAGATTTTTAAAACATTGAGTTCAACCGATCACTCTAAACAAGACAAGTGATACGATGATTATAGAAGACATAAGTGTATCCGCTTTGAGCAAGCCTGCGAAGGTCATGACCATCTTCATCGTGACATTGACTAAGATGATCTTGTATATTCGGTCAAAGGAAGGGCGAGATAGACCTTTCTTAAGATGAACACAACTCCTTTTGTTCTGTCCATAAGAGAAGTCAAGCCCCCACTTAAGTTCACTCCTCTGTCCTTTAAGTTGTATGATGGAAAGTCCGATCCCGTGCTCCACATAGTGGTCTTTACTAATTAAATGATCATCTAGCCGAACAACGAGGTATTGATGTGTAAGATGTTTTCCTTAAACTTGGGGAGGTCAATTCTTAAGTGGTTTCATGAGATGGCCATGAACTTAATCTTCTCTTGGGGAATAACTCGCCGTGGAATTCGTCTCTCAATTCATAGCCAATAGTCAAGAGCCGATGCCAATTGACACATTCTTGGAATTACACCAGAACATGAAGAGACCCTCCGTGAATATGTCACGAGGTACTTGAAAACCTATACCAATATAGAAGAATGGGATAAGAAGACCACCGTTGTCTCTTTCCGTTTAGGTCTCCTCAAGGAAAGTAAATTGAGGAAGCACCTCACCATTTGGCCGCCCCGGAGTATGTCATACTTGCAAGAGCATGTCAAGAGGTATGTGAAGGTGAAGGACGACAAGGGATCAGTCAACCGCCTACCATCTTTTCCAAAGAAGAACTAGATGGAGGATGACAACACTTCCAACCCATCAAGAAAAGATGGGTCATCCAAGGGAACTACAGACTCCTACCAAGAAACCAACACTATTTTCAAGGAGCCTATTTATAAAGTCCTGAACTAAATCAAAGACAATGAGCATTTTAGGTGGCTATTTAAGATGATAGGAGATCTATCAAAGAGGAATCAAAACCTCCATTGTTCTTATCACAAGGACAAAGACCACTGGATGGAGAATTTCTGGGCACTCAAGCGCCATCTAGAAGAGTTGATCATGCAAGGCCACCTCTTTCGGTACATTTACAAGGCAAGACTACCAAGCAGTAGGCAGAGCAACAAATAAAATAAAATGACTAACCAAATAACTAAATTTTACTTTTAGCTTAGTCAATAACATCTTATTATTTCAATAAGTCTTCAAAGACATTTGTGTCTCATTCTCGTTGATTAGTAAAGAGAAATTTATTTTTCACAACTCTAAGTATTCCTCTATTTGTGATTATTGCAACCTTCGTGATTGAACTTCAAGCCAACCTCCGTAGTGACACCTAAAGCGGACCTCCTTAATTGCACCTCAATTCAACCTTCATGATTGCACCTCAAGACTTTTTCACCACCCTCTCAGTTCGTACGGGATGGTTACTCTTTGTGTGGATTTATTCCCGCACATAAGCAAAATACTCTTTTCCCATCCCATTTCTTCCCATCCAATAAGTGACTTTTCTCATCCCATATTTATTTTTTATGTATCTTAAATTTACTTTCATGATGTTAATTTTTTTTTTGCTATTGGAAATGGAGATACAAGTAAAAGCAAAAAACTATCTATCTTGTGCGGTCAAATCTACTTGAAGTGCTGCCCTTGCCGCTTGTGGTAGTTCTTCATTTGAAAGTTTACCCGTATACTGTACTGCCAATCCCCATTTCGCAAGTTCATGTGCCAGAGAATTTGCTTCACTTGGTACAAAGTCCATTCTCCATTCTACCTGGGCAGCAAGAAGGTGCTTGAGGTCAGAAATGATATTAGTTATCAACCAATGGTGCTTAATGTGCTCCAGGACTGCTGCATGGACGACCACTTGGCAATCTCTTCAATGTTTACATAACTCCAGTTCTCTTGATGTGCCCATATTGCCGCAAATATAGCTGCCATGGCTTTTGCCATTAATGGTTCCTCAAGAGGATGAATTGCAAGCTTTGCCTGAAGAACCAAGCCTATATGATTTCTAACAACTACAGCAGTGCAAATCTAGTTCGTACCAATAGCTGCAAAAAAGTTCACTTTGCAGCCTTCTTCTGGCGGGCTAACCCACTTGGTTGCTTGATGAATTCTGCCTAATTCTTTGTTGGATCTTGGATGGTTCCTGACATTCTTGTATTCATTGAAGAGGTGTCTAACTTCATCCAAAATCTCCTGTGGATGAAAGTCAATATCCCGGTGTAGCAATTTATTCCTCCAGCTCCATAAACAACTAATGAGCACTGCAGTGAAAAAGGTAAGGTCAGTCCACTGTGGGCTGTTTGGGCCAAAGAGGATTGTTGGATGCAGAGCAT